TTTCATTGTTTAAATGTAGTGTTTAACCATTAGCATTGTTGCACTTATATAAATATATGTTTGGCAGTAGGAGGTTGTATTTTTCTTCATAGCACACATATAATTAAGATTTATATTAATAATGATCTTAGTAGAATCATATTCATTCTATTTCCATAAACCATATTCCACTTTTTTTAATGCTGTTGCAACTTTGAAGGGTTGCTAAATGGATGGCTGTAAGTCGAAGGCTACCTGTTTAACTTCTTAATGGTTTATGCTCCAGGAGACTCAACATCGCCACTTATAGATAATTGAAATGATGTTACTTGATTTCTTCAATACTGATCAAGGGATATTTTTTTTAAAAAAAAAAATCAGAAATCAAAATCGTTTTATAGACCAGTACAATCCGCCTCCTGAGCTACTCTCTGTTTTTACTTTGACTATATGAAGTCAGTGCCAGTCTACAGTATTAACTCTTTCACCATNCAAAAAGTATAATGTGATCATATTCTGAAAAAAGCTTAATCATCTTTCAGTACTAGTAATATTTATATGATCCCACTGTATTTCATTTCTTGTGGTGCATTTCAGAAGATAGTGCTTGATGTATGTTATACATTATATACTTTAATAATGAATATTGTATAAGTACTTCAAAGGCTGAATAATGACTATCTGGCTTCAGGTTTATCATCATTTGTGTGGAATATGCCTTTAATTGATTATTAAAAAGTAATATAATATAAAGGCTAAAAAACAAAATAAAATAGAGTTCTATATGAGTTCTATAATGTCTCAATGGCACAGCCCCAATTAAAAACAAAAAGCAAAACACTCTCTTCAACTTTTATAAATAAAAGTACTTGCAGGATTTTTTCCAGTAATAAAGAAAAAAAACTGCTGGTTAAATAGCCATCACTAAAAAATATCTATGCATCCATTCTAAAGTATTCAGAATGTGTTGCTAAACTTTCTTCTAAAACTGATTTCAGAGTGGAATATTGATGTAATTGAAGTAGCATAATGTTGGGGTTTTTTACTGGTTTTGTTATCTCTGCAGTTTTGTGCCAGTGCTTAGAAAGGTCATCCTGCCTGTCATAGTTATCTCACCAGGGCTGTTGAGAATAAGAATGTGCTTGGAACTGACAAGCAATGATATGAAGAGAGTGGAAATAGCAAGAACTGAAATGCATCTGGATAATTTTTGGATAACTGCCGCACATGAGGTCACACTGCCAAATGCGATTTCACACATATTAACTGAAAGCTCTGCAGAGGGCTTCATCAGGACAAAAGCAAGCCCATATCAAGATCCACCTTCCATAATGTGGGATACAAAGAAATAAAATGCCAGAAAGCACCTGGTGCTTTCCCTCAGGGGTTCTCTAGAAAAAAAAATGCCTACATTTACTTAGTATTTTCATCTATTTATTCCCTATCATTTTTAAATATGAATTTTAACACAATCTCGTAGGCCACAAAGTATTTGAAGTCAATATGATGTGATCCACAAACCTTGGATGTAAAATCATTACATTGTATTGAAAAGGCCAGCACCCAATCCCAATACTTTTAGTCTATTTTTCACGCTTATTACATTCATTTTTATATTATTTTTATTTTCTAGAGTCACCTATCGTCAGTTTGGGTCAACCATAAATTTAATTAACTTTGTCCTACCACTGCAATAATAGAGGGGCCAGGGCTGAAATCTGTGGCATCTTTTTTGATACTTCACTCCTGCTAGATGTCAAACTGTTGATTAATCTGTTCATTTAATTGCCATTTTGTCAGACCCATACTTTGCTAGCTTGCTAATCAGAATTCCATGCTTTAATTTCTCAAATGTTTTTGCTTAAATTAATATGTATCANAACTAGACATCCCCAGTTCCTGCAACCGTTCTTCATATGTTTTAGCCTCCAGTCCCCTAATCCCCTTTCTTGCTCTTCTCTGCACTCTTTCTAGAGTCATATGCATGAAACCATTAGGAGAGGTTGGAGAGAGTCTTAGCAGGATCAGTTCTTCAAGATAGGCTAGAACAAGAAGCACATTCTGCTAAGCTTAAATGCTACTTTATTGTTACTGGGTACAATGGCAGCTTCTCCTCTGCCTCCTTTTATACCCAACAAAATCAAGGTTATTTTGAGTTTCCTTCTCATCCCTCTCTCTTTGCCAGAACCGAGTTGTCTTTTGTTTTCTTTAACGGCTTTTGCCAAATTTCTTTTCCCATTCCTCTACATCATGCTGCTGATAGTCAGCAACTGGCTGGGGAAGTGGTGGTTGTAGATGAGGAAGCCTTTATCCAGTATTGATTGGTGCATCGCTAGGAACCCTTCTTGGAGCTGGCAATGTTAGCTCTTATATTACTTTGTGACTACTGAGGATGGCTGCAATGCATTCCGTATGTAGCAATATTTGCTTGGAAATTGCTTTGTGCAAAATGCGGTACCTGGTTATGAATGGGTGAGAACCTTCATAGACATATAAGCACATGTGCCATAATTCCTGCTCTGTTTTTGATGTTGCCCCCTATTTTATGGATATCCCCCTTATTGTGTTAGGCTGGTGTACGATTGGAGGACATTCTGGAAATTGTTTAAAAAGGAACATTTCCAGAAGGTGTTTGGGGAATAACCTATTGGTATTTGCAATTTTTTTGAAGATAAAATACCTTGGAGATTACAGCAGCATACAAATTAAACAGGCAGACAGAATTCCTGTCTGTATTTGCCATGCACAAATAAGAAATTTGCAGCTGGTTGAAATGACAAGAAATGGAGCACATTGGCAACTGCTAAAGCATTTCATAATACTTAGGAAATATGCATGCATGCATGTTTCCAAACACTATTTCTCAAACAGTCTATCTGAAACTATATTGCTACATAATCTATGCAAATAATAAAACATACTGTAATCACTGTTTAAAGAAATTTAGGGAATGTGAGAGATAACATTAGGTGCTTTTCTTCAAACTTGGAATGTGACATTAGTTTTTCTTGCATCGCTTGTCTTCATAGCTTTTGATACAATTTAAACCATGGCAATACCTAACAGGCTAATCTAGTTATCTCTGTAAATCTCCTTCAAGGTTGTCATAACTAAGTACCTTCTCTTTTCCTGTTTTTCATGCTGTTTTATGGGGAAGAGACCTTGTGGACCACACACTTAAACTTGAACAATGGATTTTATCCTCATTCCCTGCTCCTGATCTTCCTGAATACTAACTATCTCCCCACCCTCCACAATCTCTTAGTTTTGGGGGATAAATTGGAGGAGGGGAAAGAAAATAAAATCGATTAGATGCCATTCTATCAGTGACTTGAATTTTTTTAGAAAAGAATTCAATGAATTATACCATTCTTTGTAAATGTAAGTTATTTTCTGAAGTGGTTTATATTTGTATTCTTTCTTCTGTTTATTGACTTTGGCACTAAAATGCATTCTTCAAATGGCCCTGTGATCCCATAAGCTTTGGACCACTTGGCATAACATAAGTAAGAAGAAAATAATTACTGTATAATTTAATGAAAGAGCATTTTCTCACCAAATGCTAAATGTATATTGCGCAAATGTTTGTTTATATATAATTTGAATTATAAGTGTTCACACAGATAAAAGATAAATGTGAGCAATATCAAGTAAGATTAAAGAACAATAAAAAAGGAAAATGTAAGGTGGGAAATTAAGAAAAAGTAATTAAGAAATAGAAAAATAAAGTTGTATAAAGAAGTGACTTCCGATCTTCTTTACATCAGTTACAAACTTAGCTTCTCTCTTCTCTCATTAAAGTTACAAATGCTTTTAATATGGTTTAATTTATTTTTTCTGGTTCCTTAATACAAATTTGCCTAAAATATACATCATGTTTTCTAAATAAGCTTAAGTAATTTTAATAACCTTGCAGTTTATTTTAAAGATACACAGCAAAGAAGTATAAAGGAATTGATCACCTAGTAATTCTCATAGAAAATCTGATCTCTTATGTATTTCTTTATAGCCCCTAATTTTATTTATCACATTTAGAAACCAATTTAGACTCTCCCCCTATATATTATATTTTTTCTTCATTTTCTAATAAATTACATGAAAGATTTAGAGCAAAACCAAGGATTTTCTTGGGTTTGAGTGTTGTGACCATCGAATAAATGTAGACATCTTGATAGATTATCCTACATTAAAGCCAGAGGTTCCGTGTTGGAATGTATCCCATTTACCACAGAGGCAAAGTGGGAAGAGTTGGAAATGCTTTTTAGGGAAGGTATATCATCATCCCAAGTTTTGTCCTTGCTTTATGCCAAATTGTATGTATGGCCATCAGCTCTGCTGTCCCTCCGCCTTTACTGATCTCCAACCTTTCTATCCGGTTCCTTCTTTCCTCCCTTGGATTTCCATCAAATAACTAATTATAGCTTGTCAGACAGAATCTTTTCAATGTTGGATTATACCCTAAAACACTTAGCAGTTGTGATAGTAAACACATGGGGCAATCCTGTTCTTAAACATTTTAATACAAAAAATAAAGAGGATGGTGGTTTTTTTAAAAAAAATTCTAGCACTAGTTGAGAATAAAATTATTTCATGGTCTTAGCCATGAAAACCAGCTGAGTAATTTTGAGCTAGTCACTTTCTCTCAGCCCAGCATACCTCACAGGGCTGTTGTTATGGGGAATAGGAGGAAGCTGTGTTGGATGTGTTTGCCATCTTGAGGTATTTATAAAGATAATAAAGGAGGGATACAAATACATAAATTTCATAAACTGATGTGGATATTATCCATCTCTAGTTAAAAAGAGTAGTACCATACAATATTTCATTAATCATCTTCACAGTTTTTGAATTTCTTTAGCCGACTCTTCTACCAATCAAAAGCAATATATTTCTGGCTTTCAAAATAGATTTAATAAATGGGTTGCTGAAAAAATATTGATCTTTTTAAAAATTATTTTTAATATTATGCTCTTGTGAAGTACCTTTGCTAACGTATACATGTGTCTTCTCTTTCTGTATAGGAGGGAGCTTCAGCGCGAAAGACTCAGACCCCAGCAGCGCAGCCTGTGGCAAGGCCAGGTAAAAGGAATAGGCTCATCTATGCTCTTCTAGTGTGAAAGATAAACTCTTTATTTAAAAAAAACACTATGTCAGAAATGCAAACCAATCTTCAAAGTCACTCTGACTTGCTGTGGGGAAAAAAAAAACTATGGCAAAAAACCTTCCAACTTCGCAACATTTTTTTGGGGGGGGGGGAGGGTGAGAAGTTGGAAGGTCTGAATTTCTGATATATTTTTTTTACCATAGTCGCACAGACTACTTTTCTTGTCTTGCACATGCAGCGGAGAACCAGAGCTATTAGTGGACGAATGTGGCTGCCTNTCAGGAATCACTATTCAGATAAGAAAAGTCTTTATAAACTGTATATAAAAGCTGTGTTTTATTGCAACCCAGATTCATTATGGAGTCAGGTGACTTTATACATATATAAAATAAAAATGACACATTGGATTTTTTTAATCCTGTATAAATTTAAATTATATAAATTATTATATATTTTATATAATATATTAACCTTCCAGAGTTAATTTGCAGAGCGAGATGGGTTACGTAATAAAGAAATAAATTTCAATATTTTTGAATATTTTGTAACTTCTAACACTCTACTTTAAAATTTATTATATGATTTTCTCCCTTAGTCCTTGTTTTAATGTCATTTGCAATACATATTATGAATTAATTCACTAAGTGTTTACATTTCATTAATAAGTTAGTATAGCATGAGGACTGCTCTAGAATGCTGCCTGCTTTATCAGGTTACTTTCAAGTGCATTATATTGAGTTTCCATTTTTAAAAATAGTGGATCTCCACTCCATCATACTCTATATACAAAACTCTCCTATGTTTTCCCCCTTAATATAAAAAAAATGTCATGATAAAAACAAATGTACACTAGTTTGACTAGTTTTGGAAAACATAATACTAGTTTCCCCGTCCTTTCCCAAAAATAATTTTAATCCAGAGAATCCCAGTCTATCTATATCTCTTTGATGAATTTGTTTAGCCATTAAGTTTGGTCTCACAAAGGTGATTGTAAGTTGAATTTTCTATTCTAGAATACTAGATTTCCCTTCCTAGAGACCCAGGTGCAATTTCATTTAAGTGACAAATGGGTACATTGTTTTTGTGCCAGGTAATTGTAGTCAGTCTCTAGTTTATTAACCACTTTGAGATTATTGGTTGAAGAACTGTACAAATATTATTAAATAAGTAGACCACCAAATAAAAACAATAGAAGTTATGAAGTTAAATGGAAATTAAAAATAAATTTGTTGGGAAATAAAAGTCTTCTGTTGTAGAAAGTTCAACAAAGCATTTCTAAACAATATGCTAGGAAGCATGAAGATTTTTTTTCTTTCTTCTCTTCAATTGTGTCCGATTCTCAGCTTGGATGAGTCCCTATAATTTTCTTTGCAAGGTTTTTCAGAAGCTGTTTGCTTGTTTTCTTAGGGCTGAGAGAGAGGGACTGGTAGACACTCTTGGTTTCTAGCCTGATGCCTTAGTCACTATACAAAACTGGTTTTCAAAATGGATGATACTTAAATGTAATTGCTTCTTTCCTCGCACAAATGGATCTACTTTCTTGATTTTATCATTTTAATTGAATTGTGTTTTGAATTGTATAGATCATTTTTTACCTTTTGAAAATTCATGCTTCAATTTGCAAATTTATGTAGGCAGCAGCGATGATAATATGGATTTTCTCTCCTTTACGTTGCAGGTATATGGTCAAGCATAAATCCCACTTAAGATTCTGAATTCTAGACTGCCATTTCATTTTGAAAACTCTTGTGATCCAGAAAGGAAAGAAAATCCCCTGTCAGCATTTGTGAAGAAGATTATTACAGAGAAAGAAGAAGTCATAATTCAACCTTTTATAAAACGTTGTTGGATCACCACGTTACAATGAAAGCCAACAGTTCTTCTCTATAACAAGCAAGGGATTTTGCTTAAAACTATTTTTTAATAACATAATAAGCCTTTTAGCCTGCAATTCAAATTGTATATTTTGATAGCAGCCATTTCTTTCCCATTTTGTTAAATTAGCAAACTTTTTACAATTACTTTTTTGTTCAATAGAATATAGGTTGATTTTCATGGAAGGTTACAAACTTATATGTGTATGTATATATAGAAATAGAGATGGATGTTCTAAACTACTTCGCTTCTAAGCATAGTTCTTGGTTCTTTGATTTATTGTTTCATTCGTGAAAAACATTTTGTTTTTATTGGTATTATCTTCTAGTCTAAAGAACTCTAGGAACTGAGCTAAGGGAAGATTGCTTTAGCTTAAACAGATTGTCAACCTGTATATGTATATTGTATATTCTTTCTGTCTTTAAAAAAAAAGGGAAAGGGAAAAAGAAAACTTTTCTTATGATGATAATTTACCAAAACTGTAAAAAGAGTCATTATGAGTACATTTGAAGTGCAACATTTTCCATGCAAATATTTTTTTTTAATTGTGTCTTCTTATGACCCCCATTTTGAAGTATATATGAAATGCTGTATAGACATTCTATTTGGGGCAACTGGGATTTTTAAAAATCAGAATTGGCAAAATCTATTCTTCTAATCCCAGAAGTTAACTGGTTTTTACCATTGGTATTACTACATTATTTTAACTCTATGAGAACCAGACGTGACTCCATAGAAGGAGCACATTTTACTGTACACCCAATCATTATCAACATGTTTCTTTCCAGATTTAGCACTGGTATAAAAAGAAGATGCAGCAGGAACTTTCCTTCTCAGGTTGTAAATCTGGTTATAAGGCAGGATCTTGCTCAATGTAATATCTCAATTGCAGGGAAAATGTAGATTTTCACCCATTACAATAACGACTGCTCAGCATTTCCATTAAAAAAAAATCAGTAACCAAAGAACATGTTTTACTTGATCAAAGAAGGAGCACAAGAGAGTAAGAAAATGTTATTTCTGTGTGTTTGTATTTTATAATATAGTTGCAGAATGCTGCATACGAGTCCACAGACAGAATTAACCTAATTGTTTACTTTGACCTGGATTTGGAGGGGGGGGGGAATAATTTGGAGTTGGGGGGGGGGTTGAACCACGTTTTTATGCTGAGCATCTGACTAAAGTAAAATATTCTATATATTCTTCTTTAGTTTTGCTTTAGATCATTCTCTAAATGGTTTATCATGTAACATTTCCTAATGAAATGTGAACTTTTTAAATTTTTTCCTTCTAATGATTTTTAGGATATTCTGAATTCTTTTCATATTTATTTCTGGTACACTGAGACTGTGATTTCAATTTTATTGTAGTTACGGCAAGAATAAAGTTTTCAGCTTTTCAGGAAGGTTTTTCTGTTATGAGAATCCACAGTAATAGTATTTTTGAAAGTAAATCAGTACAAAACTAGATAGGTGTACTACAACAGGAATGCAACATGTCTTCAACATAAAAGGGGGCTTCAGAAATCAAATTTAATACTGAATCTTCCAACACTTTTTTAGCACTATGAAGAACTAAAATTGCTCTTATCTTTAAATGTTGGAGTACAATAAAAACAGTTGTACAATGTGGAAAAAACTATAATGTGATGGTTTTAACATTTCATACAACTGTAATTTGAAAAACTGTCACTCCTGTGGATAGAAATTCAAAAGACTATAGTTTAAAGATGTTATTTTTCAGAGTGCTGTTGGATCTTATCGTGTGAAGTAGCGTGTTACTTCATTGGAAAGGCAGATCCATCTAAGAATCACTTCTACTTCTGTAGCTTGTGATCAGGATGAATAGGGTAAACAGTACACACCCATGAGTCATTTAATCTCATTGTTTTTGAGAAAGAAGTGGCAGGTGTAACTCCTAAGTCTCTATTCAAAACTACTCAAGTGCAAAGCCTTGTTGCATATAGTGCATGCTGTAATAAGTACACAGGAATCAATATTAGAAGATGAGGTGATAGCATAGTTCAATTAACTATTGTAGCTAAGGAGAGACATAATTCAAGCTTGTTCTGACTCTGAAAACTAGAAAGCTTTATGCTGTATGAATTTCTTAAGAGATATCTGACGGCTCCTACTTGGAATCTGACTGCCACAATGGATGGACCCTTAATTTAATCCGGTAGGACCATACGTACCCTCCCATAGCAAATAAATGTCTGCGCGTGCACAAGAGGGGACTTTTTCTCTTGGCATAAATTATGATGGGAGAAGCCTGCTTACAATTGAATTTGTTCATAGCCCCTATTTTCCTATTATTTCAGTTAGTATAAAACAAATGGCTGATTCAGATCAGGCTATTATACATTCTTCCTTTAATTTCTCTCTCTCTCTTTGAGAATGAGTGATAGCCTTTGCCACTCACTGAAATGTGTGTAAGAGTGTGTGTGTGTAGTGGCCCATGTGATATGAAATAATGTTGTGCAGTTGCAATCAATACCAATCCTTTGATGCAGTAAGCCAGTTATTCATGCAGGTAGGTTATCATAGGTTAAATGTGTTAACGTAGTTCTACATTTGTTGGAAATTGTTCTTCATTATTAAAAAATCATTAAAAAGTAAAATAAGGTGGGAGAGGTTCTTCACACAAATAGCAATAGCACTTACAAGTGAAACTCNTACTACTACTACTACTACTACTACTACTACTACTACTACTACTACTACTACTAAAGTTATCTAATGAAACAATGAGATACAGTTAGAAAACTGAGGGTGCATTTGCCCCCTTCCAATCACCGAGCCTATCAAAGCTCAGCCAGACAATCAACAAATTTCTTCACTATTTTTGATTACAGTTTATTTGTCCTTGGTGCTAAATTTGTTCAAAGTAAAAAGGTATCTTGTTACTGTTTTTGTCAATCTCAAGCTTCAGTTTTGTCCTTTCAATCCATTGTTTACAATTTTCTAGTAAGTTTTGTCTGCAGAGTTCAGTCAGTCTTCACATCTGTTTCTTAAGTCACAACTAGTAAAAAGTTTTTTTTTTTTAATTCTTTCTTATTCTTATTCCCTATTGGTTATCATAGGACTAAATTTTGCTGCTAAACTCCTGTTTGTTTGCCTAATTTGTTCCCTTAATTTACTCTTTTAAAACTGATTGTATTGTATCTTTCCTAATGTATCTGAAGCAGCCTCTGCTTACTCAGCAAGGACTATTCAAATGTTCACTTAACACACAATGGTTTTTGGTCATTAGCTTTCCTGAACATTTTGAAACAAAAGAAGACACAGGTAATCCTTGAATTACATCACAATTAGGACCAGAATTTCCATTGCTAAGCAAGGGCATTTGTAAAGTGAGTTGTGCCTGATTTTGCTACCTTTTTTTGCCATGGTTGTTTAGCGAATCACGTCATTAAGTGAACCTGGCTTGCTCCATTGACTTTGCTTGCCAAAGAAGCCACTTGGAAAGGTGATCACAAATGGTGATCACATGACAATCAGGATGCTTGAACAATAATAAATACATGCCCATTGACAATGATCCAAATTTTGATCACATGATTGTGGAGATGCTGCAGTTGTCATAAGGTTAAGTACTGGTCGTAAGTTACTTTTTTCCGGTGCCAGTGTATTTTTGGATGGTTGTAAGTTAAGGACTACCTGTACTGTTCTTATAGTTCTGAAACCCCATCTTAAGATACCTTTTATCATATTCATCCATTGTTAATAATTTAGCCAAATGAGATGCAAGAATCAAAACTGATAGTTGAGTCCTGACTGAAGCAGAGGTCCCTTGCATTTGGTAGTTGAAAAGAAAGGATATACTTATGTCAGCAAAATAGATTAAAAGGGTGATTGCTAATTTTTCAGGTAATTTAGTTAATCCAACAACACAATATTGTTATTTTTGTTAGTAATATGTTATTTACTTGCAACTCTTCCACACCGAAGCCTTCAGGTATCCAAGGCATTTAATACCCATGCTCCTTTTTGTCTCTGAAATATTAAGCACTGGAATTATATGCTTTGAAAGTGCAGAGAGCATTAACAAAGAGGGAAATTTCATTAATTCAAAACTTAATGCATCTATTCTGTGCTTTTTCCCCCCTATAGTTTCTCAAGCAAGACCTCCTCCAAATCAAAAAAAAGGTGAGTTGTTTTCAATTTTACAGCTGTTTTCATCTTACCAAATTCACATCTTCCATTATGGATTTGTCATAAATTTATTAATTAGCATTTAAATTTGTATTTTAGTATAAATGTTCAGCCAGAGCTTGAAAAGTTTGTGATGATGATGAAAATTGCCTTTTATTTGCTTTAAAAATATGTATCTTTCTATAGGATCTCGAACACCAATTATCATTATTCCAGCAGCTACCACTTCATTAATTACTATGCTTAATGCAAAAGACCTTTTGCAGGATCTCAAGTAAGTAACTAAAAAATGCACAGGGTAAAGTCTCTTTTCAAGGATAAATGAAACATGTTGGCAGCCTTAACTAGTATGGCCTTTGTGGAGTTTTGGGTTGTGCATCACTTGCAACATTCCTAGATTAGAGGCTTTGCTCGGGGTCCACTCATGCCCTTCCTTGTAATCTCTAGTTTAGATTATTGCAACATATTGTACATAAGATTGCGGACATATCCGTTTTTCAGCATATGCAATACCACTGCGCCATCCTCTTCACTGGCTTCCAGTATGCTTCTCAGTAGAAATCAAGGTGCTGATCTAATTTTCCATGGCTTGGCACTGGGCTACTTACAGGATTGTTTCTCCTTATTTTTAACCATCAGGTAAGGAACTTCAGCTGGCAAGGCCCTGCAGGACGACCTTTTCTGCTGTGGTGCCCGCCTTATAAAACATCATTCCATTTGAGGTTAAGTCAGCCTCCACTCAGCTGGCCTTTTGCAAGGCCTGGAAATCCAATCCAAGCCTGTGGCCCCAGGAATATGATAGAATTCATCCTTTGCCTTTCTTCATATTTATGAAGCTCTTCTTTGTGGCAGCCCCTGAGATATTGGAACACTGCTATGTCTCCCCTAGTCCTTCTTTTCATTAAACTAAACATACCCAGTTCCTGCAACCGTTCTTCATATGTTTTAGTCCCCAGTCCCCTAATCATCTTTGTTGCTCTTCTCTGCACTCTTCCTGGAGTCTCCACATCTTTTCTACATCATGGTGACCAAAACTGAATGCCATATTCCAAGTGTGGCCTTACCAAGGAATTATAAAGTGGTATTAACATTTCACATGGTCTTGATTCTATCCCTCCATTTATGCAGCCTAGAACTGTGTTGGCTTTATTTGTCCATTTGATTCAGTGCGGATGGCAAGGGATTTCCAAGGACAAGCAAAGGAGGGGAGCAGAGGGGATCAGCTCAGCATGCAAAATATCCCAGGTTTAATCTGTCCTATCATGAGTGTCAACATGGGCAGGTAATCTTTTTTTAACAAATCACAGATGATGGAGAACTGAAGTCAATGTTCCCAAATTGTTTGTTTGCAGATGAATGCTACTCAGAGGTGATATTCAGCCAGTTCTCTCCGGTTCGGGCGAACCAGTATTGGAGGCTATGAGACCCCACCCACCCACCCCGACGTAATGCGCAAGCACTGTGCATGCACAG